TAAAGGGTCTTTTCTAAAAAGAATTTTTAAAAAAGAGCAACATAGTTACAAACGATAAAATGTCAACAAATATGTACCTATCAATTATCACTTTAGGCCTGGCTGGTGTGGGCTCAGTGGTTGAGCATTGACCTATGAACCAGGAGGTCATGATTTGATTCCCTGTCAGGGCTTATGCCTGGGTTGTGGGCTTGATCCCCAGTGGGGCATACAGGAGGCAGCTGGTCAATAATACTCTCTTATCATTACTGTTTCTCTCTCCCTCTCCCTTCCTCTCTGAAATCAATAAAGATATACTTAAAATAAAATAAAATAATCACTTAATCCCCAGCTGGGTGGTTCAGTTAGTTGGAGTGTTGCCCTGTATACCAAAAAGGTTGTGGGTTCAATTCTGGGTCAGGGCACATACCTAGGTTGTAGGTTCCATACTGGGTCAGGATATATATAGGAGGCAATTGGTGCATGTATAGAAGGCAACCAATTGATGCTTCTCTCTTACATGGATGTTTCTCTCTTTCTCTATTCTCTCTCTAAAAATCAATCAAAAAAATTTTTTAAAACTCTCTTTAAAAAGATTCTCTTTAAAAAATAAGCAAACCTCTTTTCAGAGTATCCTGATCCTTTTAGAGGGTGCTTCCTTATTTTGCAGAACAATGGCTTTTCTTTTCTTTTCTTTTTTTTAAAATATTTTTTATTAGTTTCAGAGAGGGAGAGGGAGAGAAACATCAATGGTGGGACAGAACCATTGATTATCTGACTCCTGCACACCCCCTACTGGGGATGGAGCCCACAACCTGGGCATGTGCCCTGACCGGGAATCAAACCATGGCCTCCTGGTTCATAGATTGATGCTCAACCCCTGAGCCACACTGGCCAGGCAACAATGGCTTTTCAGTTACTTAAGCCATCTTGTTTAAGGAACCTGAAGCAGTTGCTAGTAGTGCCCTATATAAATCTCTTTGGCTATGACTACTATTTCAGTGCACACCAATTTGCACCTGTTTACAGAGGGCTTTCTGTGGCCACCAGTGTCTGATCTTCCTATATGCATGTGCTGGGCATTGACTCTCCTTGTCTTTATGGGAACAGCCTTCCATGAATGATTGACAGGAGCTGGCTGTCAATGACTGATGAGAGTACTCTAGCTCCCTTGCACCCCAGGTGGGAAAATTGAGGTTCATATTCTTCACTTGCTCTTAGAACTCCATGGCAGAATTGTTCTCAATAGTCTAAAGCCGTGGTCAGCAAACTGCGGCTCGCGAGCCACATGCGGCTCTTTGGCCCCTTGAGTGTGGCTCTTCCACAATATACCACAAAATACCACGTGCGGGCACACATGTACAGTGCGATTGAAATTTTGTGGCCCACGCGCAGAAGTTGGTATTTTGTGGAAGAGCCACACTCAAGGGGCCAAAGAGCCGCATGTGGCTTGCGAGCCGCAGTTTGCCGAGCCACAGTTTGCCGACCACTGGTAAAGTATTGACTTGCTCAATGATGAGTACTTTTATTGGCTTCTTTCAATTCTATTTCAGTTCTCTACTAGTCTAATAGTGCTTCCTATGGTTACCTCCCAAATAAATTGCCTGCAGTCAAATACTAACTGTCTGAGTCAACTTCCGGGAAACTCAAACTATAAGAAGCCCTTAGAACAACCTCAGTGGAATTTTATCATACCCCACTTGGGGAAGTTGGTTCCCTTCTTTGTGCTTATACTGTAGCAATACATTAAAACTAAGAAGATATTGGGATATTACCAATTAGACTAAAAATTGTCCAAACAGCCCTATCCAGTTTGGCTCAGTGTATAGAGTGTCAGTCCATGTATTGAAGGGTCCCGGGTTCGATTCTAGTCAAGGGTGCATACCTGGTAGGGGCGCATGTGGGAGGCAACCAATCGATGTGTCTCTCTCACATCAATGTTTCTCTTTCTCTCTGTATCTCACCCTCCCTTCCACTCTCGCTAAAAAAACCAATGGAAAAATATCCTTGGGTGAGGATTAACAACAAGAACAAAATTACTCAAACATCCTATCTAATAAAAGAGAAACATGGTAATTAGCC